TCTGGACGATTTCTACACACTGTCGTGCTCACTCGCAGTTTAAAACCTCCCTGAACATCAAGATTCTACCCTACCCAGTTTGAGTCAACCGTGCTTCGTGTTTACTTTATTGGGAGTTCTGCCCATAATCAATTGTTGGCGATCGGGCTCCCTGCCATTGGTATCGGGCTGCTAATGCAACAATGAAACTGGTGAAGTTGGCAGTAGATGATACTGCTGTGCGCTATTGAGGTATGCCCTGTTATGAAAACCATTTTGGTCTGCTGGCGGAGATCCACTGAGCAACATCAATGATGCATCACTTCAAAGGATAAAGTAACTAACGTTAGGTCATGTCGGACACAAGCGGAAGGAGATCAAGCTCGAGATTTGACGCCTGAATTCGACGACCTGATCAACGCTGCGTCGCTTGGGGGAAAGAGACTACGAACAGTGGATAATTAAGCAGCCTTATTCGATTGACCATGGGGACGTTGTTGTCCACCGTCGTTAATGTTGAAACATCTACTAATTAAAATCGGGAGCTACATGGATACCTTGTGCTGTAACCAGCAAAGATTATCTGTCCGATACAGACAACTACAAAGAGTACTCGTATCAGCAAGTTTTTGTGGCTTTTCAATAATAGCAATAAAAATTTTGACGATCACTTTTGGCAGGGATCAAATCTAAAGTGCTATCTTCATAATTTCTTTGCTGCTCCTGTGGACTCCTACCGGCACGTTCTAACAAATCGGCTCCATGGCTGGGCCCCAGGAACTGCTACCTCGCTGGCTGGTAGACCATCACGTCGAGGTAGCTCCGACTCCACCTGAGCGCATCCACTTAAGTGACTGGGACGACGGGTTCACGCCCTCTGGTTGCAACGGACGTCCGGGAAAAATCGTGCGCGACTTTCCCAGAGACCACCCAGGGACATTCGCTGTTGTTGATGCAGCGGTGAGCGAGCGCACAGCCGATCTCTTATACGCCAGTGCTGTTAAAGCGACAGTATGGGGCGTCTACGTGCCTGTCAGTGAGCTGCAGCTGGAAACCGCTTCGGAACTGGAGCAAGACGAAGCGGAGGACCCAGCGGCCTACCGTCGCGCTTTGGCTCGCCGTACAGTGCAGGAGTTTCTTATAGAGAAGGATGCAGGGCAATGCATCTCCAAGAGCGACTGGGACCGCACACATGGAGTGGCAGTTTGGGTCATTGCGTCGGGCTGTGACGACGAGACGGAGTACCATTTGGACTATGCCGAACAGGTCCGATACGAGAGCAATGTGATCTTTCCACCCATTTACGGGGCCACACTGCACGTGAGTCCACTGCATAATGAAGCTAATGATGAGGCAACTCCGAATCAAGAACGCAGGACGAACTCGTTCGAAGGAGGGGGATTCCACGTGAATCTGACGGGATTACCACACTATGATAAGTACGGCTATAAGACGCGCAAGCAGCCACATCGGCTATCTACAGACGAGCTGGAGACGTTGAGTAAACGCGAGTCGGGATGGAAGCACGTAGCGTACAAATATCGTCGCGGAATCCTGTGTGACGGTGAATTCCCTCACTTTAGTGGCCGAGTACGCACGCTTCCGTCATCTCCGGTAGATGCGGATTCATATCTCCCAATGAAGCGCGTGGTGGTGGGTTTTAATCTGTTTCCTAGCGAGATCGGCGCGTGCGTGGCCAAATTCCCTGAACACAGTGGCGCCTTTAACCGATACGTCAAGCTCTCACAGGCTGCTGTAAAGCAGACGAAGCTGCTGTCGACTACGAGCAACAAGGGCGGCTGGACACTGGAGAGTGTGCGTGCGAACCCAAAGCAAGCGGCGTTTCTAAAGCTGCTAGCACGCAAAGTGCGCGAGAATCAGCAGAAGGTAGCAGCGTCCAAAGCCTAATCGAAAGACGAGACTGAGAACAAGTCATTCAGGACTTGTGGCCATTTCTAACTGACTCAATTGGTTAGAAACGTAAGCTATTGACTGTAGACTGTTAGTTGTGGCGGAAGAACTTGAGACTGACCCAGTTGGCGTAGCAGGCCAAAATGGTCACAGGGATCGTGAGAGGCACCAGGTAGCGGTAGTACACGTCTCTCTCCAGAGCCAACAACAGACTGGAGCTTTGTGCTTCTTGCCCTGAATTGGGGAGTGTGGTGTCGTCAACCTCTTTAGTTGGAGTAGAAGCAGCCTCTGGGAGCAGCAGTAGCAGCTTGGAGAAGACCATGACGTACCTGTCACGAACAGCAGCAGTCATTTGAAATGAAGGGGTTTATTGGAGGTGCATGCAACGCTAACTGCGGTCTTACATGGATGAGATGAAGGCCAGCGCCGCCGTCAGCACAATCACGTAGCCCCAGACGTGGCTTGTGGAACCTGCACGTCGCGCCGCCACCTTCGCCATTATCGAGGGCTTTACCAAATGGGGTCTCTTATTGAAGTGGTAACGGTAGTACATCATAAGGGGTGTTGCACACTAAATAAGGTTTTAAACACATCATAGCCTTGTTGAAGTTTTTTTTAAAGTATTATATAACAGACGAATGCAGGATTACTTTGCCTGTTCTGTCGACATATTACTGCGGCAGCAACTAATCCAGCTACCTGCTCCTCTAGTGTGTGCATGATGTTGCTGAATCTCCCGCATCAGACCGGAGCGCTCTGTTGATTGGACGTTGGTCAGCACGGTGCGGTCTGCCAGTAAATGTAGTGTTCGGTGCGTGTGCGCTAGCAGCATCCTAGCAGATACAGCGCCGGGTGTAGTATATGTCTGTGCGTGTTCGACCGGTACAGTTAGTACGCGCTGGCCTAGACTGGTTCACGACTGCCCGTGAATGGATCGACCAGACGAGCGTATCACGAGAACAGCTAGACGAACTCGTCGTCAGCTACGCTTTGGCACCATTGAGTTGCAATTTGACAGGCAGGAACCTGAACTGAACAAGCCGTATAAGCTCAAAAACGCAAGGTTGAAAGTGCAACGAGATTTGTCTGCATGGTCACTATGTTCCCGGTCACAGTTGCCTGTAAAAATTAGGGGGGGGGAGTTACAATCGATTTTTAAAACGGCCAAGACACTGTTGTCGCTTAAAGCGAGCTCCATTTTGCCGAAATGTCACTGTTGTGTCAACACTTAAAGTGCGTGAGTGGAGCCCTCTTTGTGCTGAGTTTTATGGTAAACACAGCGACGTGATGTTTGGCAGATAACCATCGTAGTAACTACCAAAAAGGTTGAAGGCTGCTGGGCGCAGAAATACGCGCCGTGTCTTTCTGACGAAACGAGTCCTCCGTTGAACGGGTGCCACTGCATGAACAGCCAATGACTGCTGGATCTACAAAGTTCCCTCACTATTAATACCTCTGCCGATCCATAACGTCAAAGGTTGGATCGGTAACTTAAACGCAACTTGAGCGGCGCGCGTCCTTGCTGCTGAGACGTGTAGACACGCAGTCTCCCTTCAAAGCCGCACGCCAACCGACTTCAACGTTTGACACACGATACTGAATAAAACTTAAGATAAAACTGGAGCGAGCCTGTTAACCCGTGAGCGCTGACTACGGAGTATCTACGTATACCCGAGTCTCTTGATACTCTCGGATGCTTCGCTCCGGCTCGGCTCGGCGCTTGCTTTTTATAAGTAGAAAATCATTAATCGTACATGTGGACATCCGAAATTAAGCTGCACCGGTTCAAGATATTTTTATTTTACTAGAATAGCGCAGATGAATCTCATGCTATGAGTGAGGACTTCGCCATATGCAGTCGGCGGAGAAGACTACTACATGTATTGTCGACGTGGCACCAGTATTCACATACTTCAGGATTAAAATCCTAGGGCAATCGTTAGCACTGTGACCTCGATAGCGAAGTTCGTTGATCGACACGGAACGAAATGGTATTTCTGTATGAAGTGTGTAGTGTAGTGTTTGAGTTGCGAATGTCTGGTGTGAGTTTTTTTTTTTTTTTTGGGGGGGGGGAGCTGCTGTGAGTGCGAATGTGTGTGTAGTGGCTAAAACGGCTCTGCGCTAAACGCGAGGCTGTTATAAATAACTGCTCTCTAGATGTACTACATTTCTGAAATAGCACTGTTTCGCGGCTGCGCGGGGTTTCTGAACGGAAGTATCCAGCCGTATGGATACCGGCCGTCTGCGCTCCAACGGTCCAAGCTCTTTCCTTCATCTGGATTTAGCGCTGTGAAATCCTCCGTGTCTTCGTAATCCTACAGCAAGTTGAGGTTTTCTCTACAATCAATATGTTCGCAACAGACAGGGAAGCCCGTCCACATACAGCATCAGATCATCACAAATGAATCCATGGTTTCTCATTTAGACGGATGTGGCCTCGCCATCAGCTCTGTCTCCACAATCGAGGAAGATTCAGGTGGCCACTTCAGCAGAAGTGCCTGTTGCCTTAGCGTTTGTCAGGCACTGACAAACGGGAATCAGTTGTCAACACTGTGTGTGTTGTGATACAGTAGCTTCTGGAAGACAGGCCTATGAGCCAAAAATCCAAAGGCAGCTTCAACATGGTACATTGTTCCATCTGGACGATTTCTACACACTGTCGTGCTCACTCGCAGTTTAAAACTGTTTCCACTCGTTTGTTTTTTTTGTATGCACGTACTGTGACCCCTAGACTTTTTCTATTTCCTTGACGACCGCCGAACGTAAGCTCACTTTGCGATTGTCGATCTCTCAAGCAGCTAACGTATCAATAGAGAAATGGCAATCGACAGGAGTCGAAAGCGAACGCGCCTCGCCATGGTGGTGGTGCGTTCACCCACTGGTCAAAATGTCGGCGAGGCTTTACTTGAGGACCAACGACGTGTACAGATGGAGAGGCAGGCTGGAGAGACTCGCCAGCTCGTTGTCATGGCATCGCCCGAGGAGGTCCGTGCTGCTCAAATGGCAAGACAAACTACGACACCTATGCCAACGAGGCCTTCGCTCGCGACAGAGACCCAGCAACGACTGATCGCGTATGCACATCGAACACGACACGTTCTGTCCCATCGCTCAGTGTTGGACCACTTGAGTCATGCTCGTCGAATCGAGATGATGAGTGAAATGAGACGTCTCAAAGAGGAGATACAGGTGCTGCAAGAGCAGATTGAGGTCACGACGCGCAGTGTAGAGGGCATGGAGCGGCTCGCCTTCCACCTGGAGCAACTCACGCGCGACTTCCTTCCTCGGAACCCTAGGGACGAGGTGCAAATTGTTCGAGATCGAATTGATGTGCAGGAGTCTACTGCTTTGGCTGCCGACGGGTTGTCTTCTGAAGACGAGTCAAAAAGTTCTTAGCAGAATAGGTAGGTACGGTACAAGTGTTTAGTTGCTCGTGCAAACACCCGTTAGTGTACAATAATCACTTCAATAAACCAGTCAACTGTTATGGTTTGTTACCAAAGCATGATTCAAAACGAGTACGTAGCCGGAAGTCAACGAATACGTATAATCGCAGTAAGCACGGACTCGGTATTTTTTCGAAGGTGAATGCTTCAACCGATCAGGTAGTTTTCATACCATGTCTTATGTGCTGAGGAGAGGAAAATTAATTGTTGCAACACATTCTTGCCGTTGTCGAGCTGCTGCTGCGTTTCGGTGCCGACGTTAATGCACGGAATCAGGTACGCGAGGAGTGGTAACTTTTTGCCACGATACGTTTGTCTTATTTTTTATTTGATCCGCATTTATCTTGGATTGTGATTTTGGTTGCAGGAGGGATACAGTGCGCTGCATTACACCGGGAATGGCGACGCTCTCGACGTCGCGATTTATTTACTTGATAATGGAGCTGACATCGACGCACAAGACCAGGTAAAAATCGGCTGAAAACTCTGTAACCGGGACCTTGAACTAATTACCCGTAAATGTAACTCGTATTTTGTGCTTTTAAGAACGGGAAGGCACCGCTGCACCACTCCATCCGTGAAGGTAGCCTCTTAGTGTCCAACTTGCTGGTGTCGCGTGGCGCTCAAGTTGATATCAAAGACGTCGATGGAGTCACACCATTGACGCTCGCCATCCAACAACGCAGTATGAATATGCTCCAAATCATCCTGAATGAACATCACCTGGTAGCAACAACCGAAAGAAGAGACTTCGCAGCCAGCGTGATGTTGTGTGCCGTGAAAAACGAGGTCGACGAGGCTGTCCGCCTTATTATCGAGGGTGGATATTCTTCAGTGATGATCAGTAACTCCGACGGAGAGACACCACTGCACTTTGCCATTGTGAAGCGAAATTCGCAGCTGATGGAGTTTTTGATGAGACAGGACCATGCCGACGGTATCGTAACAGCAATCACGAAGCGTGGAGACTCACCTGCCCACTACGCAGCTCGCTATGGTGCAGTTCGTGAGCTGGAAACATTACTCCATCGTCTCGTAATAATGTTCGGGGACTTACAAACGCTAAA